GCCAACGGAAAAGGGCGGACACCAGCAGTGACAGACCTGGGAGACAATCGAAGAAATGCTACATGGCCACCAGCAGTGACACAAAGGGTGGACACATCTTAAGAAAGAATTGAGAACCCCTAACAGTAAACTGTTTGGAGAAAAGTCACTCCACTGGTTAGGAATGAACCGCAGGGTTGTTTCGCGCTTTAGGAGGTCGGAGGTAGAGTCCTCCCTTGAATGTTAGGCACAACCACCCACGTTAGTCCGCTCAAGTGCCCAACAAATCTCTATAACACAAGGCTCACTCCTGATACTCAGCACTTGATTTCACCGTTGCCACAGCTGAGGATATCCAATCTATTGCCCAGCTTTCCACCCCGTTTCACACACGAACGTGAATCCCCGTTTCACCAAGGGGCTGTTGTATCTGATTCGCTGCATGCAGCCTCATCCTGAAGCAAAAGCTTCAAGCACAGCGATGGATGACAGGAAAGACAGCTTGACAGTTGGATGATGGCATGTTCATTTGGGTGGGCGCGGCACGGAGCTGGATTGACCCCCCGAAACTCATTGAGGCAGGGAACGCGTGTGACCATCTCCGGTGGGGCTCCAGGGATACTTTGGTTGGATTCGCTGGTTCGATGCTTCTAGGATCCTGCCTTAAACAAAACCGTCAGATCTTCAGCCCCTACATCGCTGGCACGCTCCTCCCAGTCCTGGTGGTCTTTCCCAACGGTCTGGACTGCGTCACCCACCCTTGAGAGTTTGTCCTGGCCACTTTCTTTGCGGTCTGGGAAGGTTTCTAGTGGCTTGAGTGAATTTGTATCTCTGGCGCTTCACGAAATTCAAGTGATTGTGCACGTCGATGCCTTGTGGCCTTCCAAGCTATCGCTCTCGAAGTCTTCTTTTCCCTTGGGCAACCAGCGGTCAGCTGATATGATATGAATCCTTGAGCGTATGGGCGTGCAATATAGAAACCTGTTCAATACTATAGCACAGGCAACCCATTTCGAGTCAAAATGGTGTCGTCTAAAGTTGTCTATGCCTCCGTCAAGTCCAAGCCAAGGCTCCTCTTTCCAGCTCCGTTTCCGATGCAGCGCCTGGCTTCAAACCGAGTGGACCCAAGGACCGAGAATTGACCAGCTGTAATGGCCAGAAAGAATATTCCAGCGCAGACCCCAAGCAGTAAAAATGAAACCCAATATTACCAAATCGGCCTTCTTTACGCGCAGGCGTCGCAAGCTAGGCGATGGTGAAGGAAAACAACTGCATAAAGACAGCGACAGCTGGAGGAGGCAACCCGAGCAATCCAGCCAAAGACAGCCGGAGGCCGGCCCACCCACCGGGCCACCGGAAAAAGAGCCACCGAAGCAATCCAGCACAATCGGAGACAACCAGAAGCAAACCCCGACCTGAGATCAGCACAGCACGCTTTGAAAGGAGTAAGAATCTCGCAGGTAAAACCTGCCTGGGGGAAAGCAAAGTGGACCTGACAATCCGAAAGGAACTTTGCCACATCCTGGTGTTCTGGCACTTGTTTGAGAGTTCACCCGGAAAATGGCAAGGCATAGTGATGGTGTGACAGGTGTCCGACCGACACACGGTGTCTGGCCCGCGAGTCGTGGATGCCACCGGTGGACATTTCTTTCATCAGGATTCAGATTGGAAACTAAACTTGAGTAACAAGTGCCACGCTAGTAATAACAAGTGCCTTACTAGTAGTAACAAGAAGCTACTAGTAACAAGTGCCTTACTACTGGTAACAATAAGAATTTAACTAGAATTGTAATTACACAAAGAGCTTTGAGCCACTTATAAGACACGGAGACACCGACAAAATGCAACTCTGGATGGGCCAGCGGAAAAGGGCGGACACCAGCAGCGACAGACCTGGGAGACAAATGAATAGAAATGCTACATGGCCAGCGAAAAAGGGCGGACACCAGCAGTGACACAAAGGGCGGACACATCTTAAGAAAGAATTGAGAACCCCTAACAAACTGTTTGGGGAATCACTCCACTGGTTGGGAATGAACCGCGGGGTTGTTTCGCACTTTATATAGGAGGTAAAGCGTTTGATTCAGGACCTTTTACCCTGAACGCCAGAAGCACCCATAACTGCTCCCCTGCACAGTACACGCGTTTGTCCCAGTTGGAAAAACAGTGCAACAAACAAACTTTGTCTCACGCGCAGCCGGGCCTCATCTTCCTTCGGAGTGAAACTTTGTTTTTTTGGCTTGTTGAGCCCGAACTGCTCACGGATTCTGGCCAGCTCTTCGGTAGTAAAGCCTTGTCCTTCCGTCTGGATGCTGTGTATGGTGGAATTCTTGTCGTCCTGAACCGGAGCATCTGCCCATCTGTCGGAATGCGAGACCTGTCCAGCGGCACGGAATTGCTGGCAATTCTTGATATCCTTACGCCGGCATGGAGCCCAAATAGCGTTGGGATGAACATGTAACCCCCGGAGTAAGAATCTCTACAAGGAGAGATGTAAGACGAATATACTTAGAACAACCTGGGGCCGATTAGGGTGCACCTGAAGGCCTGAAGACTCTCTATATCCGCCGACCCCGGCCTATAGCCAAAGCCTAGGCGGGGAGGCGCCTGGGACACCGCAGGGTGAAGCAGTTGGCCAAGCCTAGCAGAACCCTTCAAGCACTTCCAAAGGCGCAGGATGCAGCAGTTGGCCAAGCCTAGCAGAACCCTTCCAAGCACTTCCAACGGCCTGTCCAAGGCCTCACCAGCTGGCCGGCCTGTTGCGGCCTCTCTGTGGCCTGTCCGAAGCCTGCCTCCTCTCTTCTTA